AAAAAAAAAAGATACTGTATACAGTTGAGTATAAGCCCACCTGAATATCAGCTGAGGCATCTAATTTTACCACAAAAACTGCATTAAAAATGTACTGAAAAAAAAAATTCTACATTTGTTTTCTCCTAAGAGCTTTTAGGTTAAGCATATTGCTTATCAACATAGAAAAACAAATAAACAAATAAAAAGTCTTTGACCTAGAATTTAGCGATTGTGAACTCTAAGGAACAAGGTCCCTATGAGCCTGCAACAACTTGACGACTGTCTCATCCACAGGTAAATATTTGTGCATGTGAGCACATCTATCACAGATATAAAACTGAAAAAGAAAATTCAACTTCTTATAAACGGGGTCCAATTTCTACATTTGCGATTAGATTTCAAATTCTCCACTACTCATTAAATTAGATGCTATGGAAAGTGATTATTCTATTTTCATGAAATAAAATCCTGTTGTCATCAAGTTGCTTCAGACTCACAGTGCCCTTACAAGACAGACTAGAACTGCCACCGAAGGTGTCCAAGGCTGTCAATCTTTATAGAAGCAGACTGTCCTGGCCTTCTCCCATGAAGTGGCTGGTGGATTCAAAACGCCAATCTTTCAGTTTACTCCACACTTAGTCACCATGCCAATAGTACTTGCAAGCGTGAACAGAAGCAGAAAGCAAAATCAATGGATTAATTTTAACTTCAAGAAGAGTAAGCATGCATTCCAAGGTACATTCCTTATCATAAAAGAAGCAATGCCAAAATTGATTATAACATCCTGGTTACCATAACAAGATTATATTGTAAAATCTTGGTTATCATGACAAGATTAAGTCATTCATATTACAACATCAAAGGGAACAATATTGAATCAGAACAAACGATATATTGAAGAATAGTTGAAACTAATTGTAGTGTCCGGAACCTGGGAACATGGGAGTACATGCTAAATTAGCCACCAGCAGAGACCTTCCCATCAGGGGAGGGAGAACGGGCAGGTCAACTAGCAGTCCCCTTTCTGAGATGGGCGGGAGGAACGGGCAAGTCACTTAGCAGCTGGCAAAAATGGAGTTTCTTTTGCCAGTCTGCCTCATGATACCTGCAGTACCTTCATTGTCCTCCGACTGCAATTGGGAGTCACGAGGCAGTTGCAGTTCTCAAACTGTACTTATCTCTATTTTCTTTCTTAAGTTGGCCAATTCGATATGCTTTGTTTTCATGATAACGTTCTAGAACTTTGTTGGGAATCATCTTCCATCTTGGTGGCTTAATAATTTTAATATGAAGCAGTTTGGCTTAAAGCTTGAAGGCACCTGTGGATTTATTTAGTGCAATGCCTTTACTTCACAGATGAAGAACCAGCAGCCCAGAGAGGTGCAGTAAGTCACGTAGGATCGCTTCGTGGAGGAACAAGAGCAAGACCCCAGACCTGGATTCTTCTAGACAAGTAAATCCTTTTCTGTCAAAAAAAAAAAAGTAAAAAAAAAAAAAATTATTTTCTGTCATGGAGTCTCACTTTCAGAAATCCAATGTTTTTAACTATGAGATGCCACCTTCAACTAGAGGAAGCCTCCAGTTCTATCTTGAACAAGCAGGAAATATTAATTATGCACCCAATATTGTAATGACACTGTAAGAATAAAACAAAGCAATTAGCCTTGTAAAGGAAGCTTTACAAATAGTGGTTCTTTTCAACTATGTGGAAAAGTGAATTGAGCTAAGAAAAAATGTGCATATATTTCAAGGAGTTCATAGATCCCACCCCACACATCCTTCTTCTTTTTCTCAAAGAACCCAGCCCCAGTGCAATACCAGCATCAGGACTGCACAGCACGCGCTACTGTCTTATCTATGGAGCTTCGAGATGAAGGCTGCTTGCTTCGGCATCTTCACCTTGTATTTAAATGTAGCAGTAGCTCATCATGGAAGACCTTTGATACCGGGATGGAATAAACATTTTAATAAGCACTTAATTAACCAGTTGGGAGGAATTGAGAGATAACGATAAAATGAGAACATGGTCTTCCAAAAATGTTAACAATGGAAATGAAGATGGTCAGTGTTTACATTAGGACATCCACTTTTTCTGATGCTTTAATTTTTAAGGACGAACAGAGAGAAAAACATAGGTATAAAGAATAGCACCAACTGCCTTCCGGCTTTTATTAAATCTATAGTAAGGGTGGCTATCAGCCAATGAGAAAAAGAGAAGGGTGTATGGATGAAAAGAAATAGATTCATCTTCCGTGTGGCTGCTTCTTAATTCTTCTCCTTTACTACAATGTGTCTGGAGGCTCTGACGGTTCTGAAGCAGTTGGCAACTGTTTCTGTCCTTTCAAACCCGTTTGGGAGCGCTCTGATAGTACTTTAAAGTGATTGACGATGAGAGCCGATCTCACTAATTTAGAAAATACTCGATGTGTTCTTAGCATTTGTAAAGGCCCGTTCTAAGTGGCAGTGTGGCGTGCGAGGAGGAACACTTGGGAATCAGAGGGCCCTAGGAGGACTCCCCGATTTCATGTGCTATTTCCTCCTTACGCTTCTGACAATAAGAAAGGTAGAAAAGGAACACAGTTTCCTCATCTAAGAAGTGAGGTGATACGCTTTAAGGAGCTTCATCAACCCCTCCTTTTCCACTGCCCTCCCATGTCTCTGCTCCCTCTGACAGACCTCCATCCTCCCTGCCACCCTAGAAAATACCCGTCTTGGTTTGTATCCTCAGAGTAGGGGTCTCAGGCAACATTTGGACTTCGGTGACTGATTAACTTCCTTCAGCAGAAGCCGTATTCTACGGGTCCAGAGGATCCTGAGGCATCCCATTGAAGTGCACTCCATATAGGGACTCTGAAAGTGGATTGGGGGCTGTCTCCGCCATGCATACTCCTCTGTCAACGAGGGTGCTCAGGCTTTAAGCTCTGACATATTACCCAGCAGAGGGATTCCTGGATCATATGGAATTTCTCTTCCCAGTTGTTGGGGATAGCACCCCCACACTTTCCACATAGGCTGTGCCTGTTTCCAGGCGCACAGCGGCCTGTGAGCGCTCCAGTCTCTGCACGGCTCACCGGAATTTCTTGTTCTAATTGGGTTGTTAGTGTCAAGGGAAATTTCATTGGCTCATGACCATGCGTATTTTTTTCCCCATTTGAATGTCAGTTTGGGTGAACTGTCTGTTCATGTCCCTTGCTCATTCTAAAAAGGGAGTAAACAAAGCTGAGAGAGAATACTGTGAAAAGCGTCTTCCAATTGAAGAATCGATACAGGTCACACACGATGCCTTAAGAATAATCCAATTCTCTTTTATTAATTTGTTTTTTATATCTTTGGACAAACAATTGCATGTCAGTACAGAGCTGTAGTCACCACAACCATTAGTATCCATTTACCCCTTCCTTGGATCCCTGGGTCGGGCGACCGGCTCATGCCCCCAGCTGCTGGACAAAAGGCGGGAGGTGCAACTCTACCCAGAGTGCCTCAGAAGAAAGGTGTGATGAGGTGCTCTTGAAAAAGCAACCATCGAAAACTCTCGAGAGCAAAATTCTAATCTTTCACACATAGGATTGCTGTGAGCTGAAATCAACGTTATGCCGATTGTTCGTTACGCAGCGTATTAAATTAAGTGGCACTGTGGGACAAGCATCGGGCTGCTAGCAGCTAATTGGTTCAAGCCCACCAGTTTCTGTTTAGGAGCAAATCGAGGCTATCTGCTCCCAGACAGATGTAAAGCCTCATAAACCTGACATAAGGTTGCTGTGGGTTTGTATCCACATGATGACTGTAGGAATGGATCTTACACGTGCAGTTCCATTCTCAGGCTTGTTTCCCAGTTGAGGAAACTGAGGGCCAGGCAATTTGAGTAACGTAACAAGGGTCACACAGTTAGTATGTAATCGTCTCAGATTTAAATCCAGAGAGACTCTAGAGCCTAAACTAATAACTGTTCAAACACATCACCTCACAGACCCTTGCCCTGCTTTTCTTCCTCCTTAAAGTAAACCAAAACCAAACTCGCTGCCATTGAGTCTGTGCTGCCTCACAGCGAACTGCCCCTGTGATTTTCCCAGAGTGTGACTCTATGGGAGCCAAAAACCCCATCCTTCACCCGAGAGCAACTGGTGATTTCACTTGCAGTTAGCACCCCAATGTGTATCCGCTACTTAAGTTAAATATCTGGCTAGTGCCTGCCATCCTGGCACCCAATAATGGTGTTTCTGCTCCCTGAGATAGCTCCTCAATACAGTGTCCTGTGTTGGTAAGAGAGATCTGTATTAATTTCTTGGGGCTGCAATAACAAAGTACCAAAGGGTAGGTTGCAAACAACAGAAATTTATTCTTTCGCAGTTTCAGAGGCAGAAGTCTGAGATCAAGATACAAGCAGGACAGACTCGCTCCCAAGTCTTCAGGGGAAAATCCCTCCTTGCGTCATCTAGCTTCTGATGGCTCCAAATGCCCACTTGGCTGTAGCAGCATCATTCTAATCTGCCTCTGTCTCCACCTGGCCATTTCCCCTCCTTGTCTCTCTTAAAGGATGCTTGTCTCTGGATTTAGGGCCAACCCAGGGAACCCAGAATCATCTCATGTTGACTCCCTTCCCTTAATTGAATCTGAAATGATCCTTGTACCAAATAAATCATATTCACACACTCCAGGATGTGGACCTATCTCGTGGGAGGACACCATTCAATGCACTACAATATCTCAATCCAAACTATGTCTAGCTCTTGAGAAATTCCCTCTGCCATTCTTCCTGACAAACAAGCCTACATTTATTCAAGGAGGGATGGGAAATTTAATCTCATCCAATTTGTGCCTGTAATTAAAGTGGTTACAAAACCTGTTGACTGAAAATCCAGTTGTCATCAGCCTTCTCCACACGTATCTGAGAATCAAAAGAGCTTTAGAGAAACAGACAGCTATAACCCAGGTCAATGAACAAGCTCAGTCCTCCTTCAGTTTTCTCAAGGAGCCTGTGAATAGCAACACAAACCTTTGGGAGCAGGATGCAGAAAACTAAGGCAGTAGGAAGGGGCCCACAATATTTTCTTCAGGAGAGTGAGAAATCCAGTGGGACTTTAAAAAAAAGTACAGTACATTACTTCATAATTCACTTCTAAGTATAAGGTTCTAAAATATAATGTAAAACAAAAAACAAACTCACTGCCATCAAGTCAGCACTGACTTGTTGTGAACCCATGTGGGTTTCTGAGACTGTAACTATTTATGGGAGTAGAAAGCCCAGTCTTTCTCCCTGGGACCTGCTGGTGACTTCGAACTGCTGACCATGTAGATAGCAGGCCAACATAATCAGAGTTGAGTTGATTGGCTAAAAGCCAATCACTCCAATAAAATAAGAGTGAGTTGAATGGTTAAAAACAATGATATGCTTTTGGCTTAGCTTGCCTTCTCGCCTTCCTTCTCACGGACCTCTTCCCCACCTCCTAGTACCATCTGACCTGAAATAGGATGCAGCGTCAGCAAAAATAGCACCTCAGCAGTGCTATGTCTGTCTCCATGGCCTTCAACGTCAGCAGAGCTCTCCACGCAGGCTCCTAAAAGTGGTCAGGTCTAGACCCAGAAGCAAATCAATTGAGGGAACAACAGGCTATATGATAAGAGCCATGAAATCACACGTGAGCCATTCCATGTTCCTGGTTACCCAAAACAGACAAACAAAAGACCCCCCAACTTCACCAGAAGCTGTACAGGGAGTCAAAGAAGTAAAGAATAAATGAGGGGGAAACAAAACTAAAGAGAGGATTGAAAAAAAAAGTTTTATGAGCAACACTCTTCAATATTATCCCCACTCTACACCCCCGCCCCAACACACACAAATAATAGTTAAAAACTTAGTGATAGAAAGCACTATTGGAAAGGTCTGGGTTGACCAGCTGCTTATGCCGCAAAATTTCCTTTGGCAGAGATCTGGGAACAAATGCCCAATCGATATGCTTTAGACAAATCAATATTACAGCAACTGACCTTTTCCCCAAACTGTTCCTTGGAGAAAACTCCTCCATTTCTGAAGATTCACCAAATGGAATGACTCTCAGTAGGCATGAGGTAAAGGCTTAGTTTTTCCTGGTCAGACTTCTGTTGTTGGGGTTCCTGTTACAGTCACCCCTCATTCACGACCACTCCATGTGTGCAGAATAGAACTGCTCGGAAGGGTTGTGAGTGTGCGTTTGTTTGTTTTTAATGTGTTTGCATCATGAGTTAGGTGAGGGGAAAGTTCTGCTTCAGACCATCAACTGTACATTCAACAGTTCAAAGTACTATTAACTGCCATCCCCGGCCCCCCCCAGTTTCCTATCTACCCCCAGACCCGCCCAGTTTCTCTTCTCCCTCTTTCTGAAGGGATTTTAGGCTGTGGCCTTTCAGAAGCAGAGCACCAGGCCTGCCATCTGAGATGCCTTTGGATGGGTTTGAACTGCCAACCTTACAAGGAGT